ATCCCAGGATCCTGGGATCATGACCTGAGCCGAAGGCAGATGCTGAACCGACTGAGCCACCTAGGCGCCCACAAAGTAGTAATTTTTAAGTTGATGATGGAATTGTGAATTTGTGTTGCTAAGTATTGAAACTTGGTATATTTCCTTAAAAAGCATTGAACTTTGTTCTAGAGGCACTTAAGTTGCTAACAGTTCCGTTTGGTCCTTTGAGGTTTAAGTTTTTTTAAAGACAGATAGAAGTCAGCAATTTCTTTGATATTAATATTTTTGAAGTATAGTTAAACATACAATACTATATTATTTTCAGGTGACAACAGTGATTTAACAATTAGACACATTACAAAATGCTCATCACAATAACTATAGTTACCATCTGTCATCATATAAAGTTATTACACTATTACTGATTATATTCCCTATGCTGTACTTTTTATCCCTATGACTTATTTATTTTATAGCTGGAAGTTTGTATTTCTTTATCACTTTCCTCTTTGCAAATTTCCTCTGTATTTTTTTTTTAACTCAGGAAACTAGTTTTTAAAGTAATCTAGTGTAAAAACAAGTTGAGGTTAAAAGAATATGTTCAGAGAGTGACTATGTTCAGCTTTGCAGGCCATATGGTCTTGATTGCAACTACTTAACTGCCATTTTAGTGTGAAAGTAACCATAGATAATGTGTAAACAAGTGGGCATGGCTAAGTCCCAATAGAACATTATTTACTTAAACAGATGGTAGGCCAGATATGGTCTTAAGATTATAGGTTGCCAATCCAATCCATGGTCTAGAGTCTACTTCCTTCTAGAGTTACTTTCCCCCATACTAAAGTGTACCCTTCTGGAATTCCTACTGAATGCCTTACGTATTCACCAAGGACTCTACATTCTGGCTGATAGAAACTCAAAGATATGTGGCCCTCTGTGACCTCTGGTAATTTTTCAGCATATAGCTCCCAGTTATTCTCTTAGAAATTGTTCTCAGTTTCTCTTTCTGGATTTTATCCTGCAAATATAAAAACTAGAATTCAGACAAAGACTTAAGCATATCTCTGGATCTCCTTCTCTGTATAGCACCCTTTCCTCCACCACCCAGCATTGAAAATTCTAGCTGTCCCAGACTGTTTCCTCAACTATGTGTAACCCCATTTTTTGCTGGGCTGACCCTATTGGAGTTATAGTCCAGAAGTGCCTCCATGCAGAAATCTAGGGGTGATCATAGGGTGTGCCTTTTTTCATTTCTCTAAGGGATCCCAAGCTTGTATTTCCTGATGTTCAGTGTTTAAAACACTTGTTGTATATACTTTGCCCAAGTTTCTAGTTGTTTATTGCTGACGGATAATTCCATACTTTATTACTCTTTCTTACTGTGTATATGCTGGGAGCAAACGTCTTCTTATTACTTACCTTGATATTCAAATTGTCTCTGATTTGGCCAGTAAGTTTCTCTAATAGCTGCCTCCTTGAGCCTTTCATCATAATGCTATAAATTTTTGAGCACTTTATTATTTTCTGGTACAAAAAAAAATCTAGGTTCATCTTGAATTTTTTTGTTCTTAGCTCCAGACTATTTTCTCAAGGGGTCCTGGCTCCTTTTAATGGGGAATGGTATTTAAATAGAGTTTGGGATAGAGGAGTGACATTCAATTATGTTAAAATGTCACATGGTTCTGTTTTGTTTAATGGACCATAAGGGTCAAGGGTAAGGCACAGAGATCAGAAAGGAAAGTATTGTAATAAAATCACACAAAATGATAGTCACTTAGGCCAAAATAGTAACAGTGAAAAACTGTATATGTTATGGAATAAAAAGTTTTATACACACACACACAAACACAGACACATATATGTGTTTTTATAGATAACATCCAAACCAAATTTTGAATGGAGGCCCACCTTGTAACTGAGGATTGGCCCACCTTGGGCCAAAATTTGGTTTGGATGTTAAGACTGACAGTACCGATTGTACACTAAAAGGGTTGAAAATATCTATTACTCACATATTGAGGCCTTCTGGGACATCAGTGTAGCTCCAAGGCATGTCCAAAAGTAGTTTTAGAGAGCAAGGAAAGGAAACTGATTTAGAGTTTTCTGGTGGTTGGAGGGTGGGACTGGGGTGAGAATTTCTGTGCACAGATAAGGGCATGCTTCGTTCGAAACTCCTGCCACTAACGGGAGCACCTGGGCTAGCTTACTAGGTTTCCAGATGTTGGACACAAAGGAAACACTGTCAGCAATCAGCTCAAACACCAAAAAGCGGAGTCAGACCCTACTACATGGACAAGATTTGTTTTTTCTCCGAGTAACTGGAGTTATAGAGTTGCCATAAACACAGTTGAGGAAGACTGTTCACTGGAAAAGTTTGGAGGCAAAGAATCAGAGTTTGCATTTCAGCAAGTTAAGCTTCAGATGTCTCTAAGACTTATTTACGTTGGAGGTTTTTTACTTTCATAATTTGTTCTTTTTTGTAAAAATAAACTGCCCACTAAGAAGGTCTCTGCCTAATTTGAATAATATATTTTTATTAAAAATCAAAGTTACATAATTCCATAAAAGCTTTAATACCCGAATCGCTTAAAGATATACACCCTCCCTCTTAGTAGCTGATTTCTTTGGACAAAACAACAGACATGGAAAATAATCTGGAAATAGGTAAATAACATTAGTTGATGATTTTCCTTGATATTTACCAAAAAAGTGTTTTATGGATAGGACACAGGATAGCAGTGAAATTGTCTTTATTAGTGTGAAGGGCTTTCTGTTCAAAATAATCTTATGTACTATTTAAATTATTGTGTTTTTAAAATTGTGTAGCTATTTATGTTTTAGAAATTTAAAAATTATTATTCTAAAATATTGGCTATGTCAGTTGTGTAATATATGCCAATATATTATCTGTGATGTGTTTCCATTTAGAAACATGTTCAAACTACTTTCTTGTTTGTTTTAGAAGAATTAAATTTTAGCTTGATTCAGTCTCTTTGGAGAAAAGCATCTTAAGAACCAGTTTTGTTTTTACTCCCCAAACAAATTGGAATTGACAGAATCAATACAAATGCCAACTTGTGTAAAATTAAATGATCTAGTAATTTCGCAGGTTCTCAACAGCCCCCTGAGAAATAATGCATCTGGTAGTCAACACTACCATTTTAGTTCATTGGTGGTCTGGTCTTGTGGTAGTTGACCTGGATCATTGCTCTTCTTTTCAAGTCAATAGATTTAAAAAATAGTTCAGAAGACAATAGACCTAGGTCCAAATTATATCTCTGCTCTTGAAAAATCACCAAGTCATTTAACATCTATAATCCTCGTTTATTTTTCATCTATAAATGAAGGTTAATGTATGTGCTCTCCATTTCTATGTAGCTCAGAAGTGCTTTAATGTTATGATTCTGAGTCAAGCTCTGTGATTGAAACATTAAAGGCCTTTTGTGTTATCCCGAATCTGCTAAAACTGAACTGGACAGCTAAATAAAAATAGTTTAATCCCACGCTGCAAGAAAGGAAAATGTTAGCAATTAACCCAGACAAGAAAGTTTTGTTAGAGGCAGAATGCATGGTTGAAACTTATTTTCAAAGGCTTTGCAAGTGTAAAGGGCATTTAATTAGGCAATTTTGAACAAACAGTCCAGAAACAGCTTAGCACGCAAAATGGCTAGAAGCCTTCAGAACACTACTCTTCTCCCCAGTGGTTTCTACATGGCATCCCATCCATTTCCTCCCACTTCCTCCCTCTTAGCCATCTATTTTCTAAAATGTAGGACTGATCCAGGACATGAAACCTTCTTTATGAGATTTTATCAGCAGTTTTCAGCTCCCAGAGCACCTTCTAGTGAATCCCTGAATCACCCCCAGCTCTAATCCACACTAGTCCTCAGCTACCAGACAACCCCTGATAGGGAGGCATTATCAGTTTCCGTATGTACCAGATGGGGAAGACAGGAAGGAAGAGAATTCCTGGTACTGTCGTGTCACAGAGCAACTGGGGAGTGGATATCCTAAGGTGGATCTTTGAATGAATTTTTCTACTAAAATATTGTTACCCTGGTGTTACACCCTATTGTAATATTGGAGCAGGATAATAATAATACCTTAAATGTGCATATTGAACTGCTTTGTCATTTCCAGAGCACTGTATTTCACTCATTCATGTATTTGACTAATATTTCCTGATCATTTACTAATGGCCAGGCTCTGCTCTAGGCACTGGGGATATCAACAATAGTCTCTTTAATTAGCTTAACTTCTGTAGGTTGTACTATTTTTTTTTCTCTTTTTAGATAAACTAAACTTGTCAAGGGTAGGATGATCCAAGTCTCATAGCTGAGAAGGATCAATACCAGCATTCAAACTCGGGTCTTCAAAAACACTGCTCTTATTTATTCGGGGGGGGTGGGGGTCAGCGGAAAATAAAACTTTATTGTTGACATTTCTTTGTAGGGAAATTGTTTCTAAAATTCTAAACAATTGACAGATATAAATGCATTTTGGAGAAAAATCTGTTAGAAAGTTGAATATTACTTATATGTTCATACCCCTACTTCTATGGAAATACTATATATATATATTTGGTTTCTGATAAATATTAAAATGCATGGGTGGTAATGGAATGTACTTCCAAATACACCATAGTACATAAGCTCTTAGTACCCTAAAGATTTTGTTTCAGTATAAAAAATGGAAAGCCTCACTGGCTTTCAGATCTAATTTATATTCTTGAACTTAGCTTGCAGGAAATGCTGTATTTGAAGAGTCTTGGGGTACTTTCCTAGATCAATAAAATGATACTTGATTTTTTTTTTTTTTCATTTTGAATAATCCTTGTGAGTGATCTGTTGGCCAGAACCCTGGAGGGGATCAGGAGAGAAAGATGGGGATCAGATAACTCATACTCCTAAGAACACCGTGTTTCTTAATATGTTAAAGTGAATCTACTCTTACTAGCTTTTAAGCTTAGTGATGTGTTAGTAGTGTTTCCTCATCTTCATTTATTTTCTGTTTTCTAGGTTCCTGCCCTCCTGGCTATTGGGAATGTCAGAATGGCAAATGTTATAAACCAGAGCAAAGCTGTAATTTTGTAGATGACTGTGGAGATGATACGGATGAAAATGAATGTGGTACCTCCTGTACTTTTGAGAAAGGCTGGTGTGGCTGGCAAAACTCCCTGGCTGATAACTTCGATTGGGCTTTGGGAGTTGGCTCTCATCAGAGCCTAAGACCTCCCGAAGACCACACACTTGGAAACAAAAATGGTAGGTTACGAGGCTTTCCTCATTTTTACAGTGAGCATCTCATTGTCTTCCCTGACAGCAACTGGAGAGCTCTGGTGAGACTACTGTGGGGCCATGGCAAGCGAGTCAAATATCTGATGAGTATATTTGTCTCCTGGGGCTGCCATCACAAAGTACTGGAAATGTCAACTATAGACATCATCTCACAGTTCTAGAAGCTAGATGGGAGAAATCAAGGTGTCAGCGGAACTGGTTCCTTTTCAGGGCTGTGAGAGAGAATCACCTATTCTGTGCCTCTCTCCGAGCTTCTGGTAGTCTCACACATTACTTGGCTTATAGATGATGTTCTCCTTTGTCTTTACATTGTCTTCCCTCTATGCACGTTTGTCTCTGTGTCCAAATTTACCCTTTTCATTACCACACAGTCTTCATGTGGATGAGGGCCCACTCTGATGATTTCATTTTAATTTGGTCATCCACAAAGGCCCTGTTTCCAAATAAAGTCACTTATACAAGGACTGGAAATAGGACTTCACCATCTTTGGGGAGGGGCATAATTCAACACATAACAGGGAGTAACCAAATTTTAATATTGTTCTGGTAATTGTAGATGGATGATAATGTATGCTGCCTTCGGGCACCTTTCCTAAATGACCCATGTTTATAATTAATAACCCTGAATTCTGCCACTCATTGGATCGTTAGCATATCATATAGCTTTTCAGATTCTCAAATTTCTCATCCGCAGGTGGAGAGAGCCCAGTTTTCCCTGTGTACCAAGCAGGGATTAGAGAAATGAGATGATACGTATGAAGGGAAAGCAGGTTTGGAAGCTGTAGAGGGTAACATGCAGATAACTGTAAAGTCACACGTGTCAGACGTGTTGGCAATGCCTCGTTTTTGCAGTGAGTAGATGGTCAAAGGACAAAGGATGTTAGCAGAATAAAGGACCCTGAATTCCTGGAAGCTACAGAATAGGAAAGAAGGTGTCTAAGTGTAGCAACTCCTCAGGCCTCTGATACAACAAAACCCTCCAAGCCAAACTGACCACACCAGAGAAATGAAGGTCTGAGCTCCATGCAGACACTGGGCTGTACATTGATAAAATGTTTTGAGTATTTGGATACATAAATATACAACTCATTATCTTCCATGTTACATATTAAGATTCTCAGCATTTTATTTGTGCACTCAGTAGATGACTGAATTTTTGGAAGTACGTTGTAATGCCTTTATTTTTCATAGGTAATATCTTTGCATTGTTTTACAAGAACTGGAAAGTATAGGGAGTCCATTAAATGATTTTTATAACTATCTTGTTGATTCGGTGCCATAAATATCCTGTCACATCAGTTGATCTGCATACTGTGAAGTACTCTGCTCAAAGCACAGACAGTTGGAAATTGTTCTGTCAGTGAGCTAGAAGCAAGGCTATTTGATTTTCTTTCTGTTTCAAATGGAAATGCCTTTGACAGCTCATATCCTATGAAATATAATTAAAAACCCTAACTAAGATGGAAAAGCTAAAAGGATCCCCTCATTGTTGTTTCTGTCCTATCTGAACGCTGTCCTTCTTCCTAGGGCACTTCTTGTATCTGGAGGCTACTCCGGTGGGCCTTCAGGGTGAAGAAGCACACCTCAAGAGTGCTGTGTGGCAAGAATCCAGCGCTGCCTGCACCCTAAGCTTCTGGTATTTCATATCTGCAAAAGCCACGGGGTCCATTCAGATCCTCATTAAGGTAGGATCTTCGTCTGTGATCCCTCTGAGCTTAGCGAAGATTCCTACAGGCAGCCCACGGCCAAAGAGAGTTTTCACAATTAGTCTAACTTGGCCAGAGAAAGCTTCCTTTTATCGTGGGGAGCTTCTACTTGGGGTTCAAATGCTCTGTGGGGTTTGATAAGCGGGGCATGGGAGCGAGCTTTGAGCTCAACATCATACCCTGTGGTTATGACTGAATCCCAGATACTCTTTTTATGATAACATTTAGTTGAAGACTCATAAATTTCTTCTTGCTGTCTCGGCATTTCCTTGCCTATCCTTTTCAGTAAAAGAAAATAGATTATTTGTACATCTGAGGGAGAGCAACTATCCATTTTAACTCCTGTGTGAGCAATCACAAAGGGAACTAATATTAGACATTTGGGTTCTAACCACACCGTGCCAAGGACTGAACCGCTCAGAAGAATGATCAAGGTGTGATTACATTGAACTACTTATTAACTATGACACCATAATGCATTTTCTTAGTGAGGATTAATTGGATGTTTCTGTCAGGGCTTTAATTTAGTATAACAAAGTGACAGTGTTCAGGGAACAAAATAACAAAGTATATGTTAATATTAATAAGAGTTGGTTCATATACCTCTGCTCTTTGGCAAGTTAAAGCGGCAGCAAAAAGGAGATGAGTGTGTGTTTGTGTGTGTTCATTGCAAGAATCTAATGAGAATTCTGAGAAAGCTGACTTTAAAAACATGCTCTAGAGGCCCCTGCTGTTTTATCACACACGAGCTTTGCTGGAGTGCCCTGGCGCCGTGGGAGAACATCTGACTAGAATACCAAAGGGCTCCAATGTGTGAAGAGCTCATGGCTATAGTCTGTGTTTTATCCGACACCTGAGGTAACTTTATAAGTTCGTATTCTTCTATAATCAGAAATGCCTGCCTGATAAAATACATGCAGCAAATACTGCAGTGAGTTATGCTTATATTTAAATGGAGAAGCTTAAATGTAATGCTGAAAGTTCTCACAAGAGTCTTTTGCTTGTACCCTACTGAACGGGATGCTTTGTTACACAGTGAAGGATTTCGCACCTGAAGGATTTTGCACCACTTTGTGGGTTTTGCTGTTACTATTTGCTTCCCTCATGTTCACCTTTAATCTCTCTTATATTATAGTAACAAACGTTTACCATGAAATGTGAAGTTAAGCTATTTTGCTCTATAAGTCTTCCTGTGAAGTTAGGTTGAACTCCTGTGGTTCCTCCAATTGATTCCTATGTGCATTTAACAGCATTTTTAAAGAACTATCTTCCTACCATATTTTTTAAAACATAGTAACACTTGTTACAAAAAAAAATATATGCTTATTCTCCTTTACTGACATTTTTTGCAAAGAGAAATCTTTCATCGCATATATTGATTTACATTCAGGAATTTTAGGGCAATCATTTTATTTTGGTAATTAATATGATACATATTTTTGATCATCATTACAAAGTACTTCTTAGGCTGCTCTCTGTGTGGAACCATGCTGGGTTTTAACCTGCTCATTAGGCTGAAAGCATCCTAGCCAGATGGCAAACACAATAGGGGCAGGGATTCTGTCTTTTATTTCTTTCTTTACTTCTCTCTTTTGAAATGGTCTCAATTTATGCATGTGTTGCCTCCAGCTCAGTCTCCCCTGTCTATTCTCAGGAATGTCTCCTTCTGTGTTTGCCTCTTTTGCCTCCATACCAAACCTAACACAATGTGGCAGATTCAGCTTTTCACAAAACTTTCCTTGACCACTTTTGCCCACCATGATTACTCCTTCTCAGAGTGTCCCTCACAGCTCCAGAAATTCTTCTTTCTCACTAAAGGTTCAACTATATTTATTCTATTTCAACAGGTAGGTCATAAAATCTTGAGAGCAAGATCTTGAAGTTTTAATCTTAATGTCCCTCTGAGTTCTTCAGAGAAGGGATTGCAGAAAAGGATAGGTATCCTCCTAGAGCCCACTCCCAGGCTTAAGGCACCCCTTTTTGGGACAGTCCTTATGAAGGAATGACTGTTATGGGTTACATGCATGACAATAAATTCTAGTCTGGGAAAGGTGGTGTCATTCAAGATGGCGGTGTAGGAAGACCCTAAACACAACTCCTTCCTTGGACACAACAAATTCATAGCTATGTATGTAATAGTTTTCCTCTGTAAACAAACAAAAAAATCCCTGAGAACTAGATGCTAGGATTTCCACAACAAAAGACAACAGAGACACTTTGAGAAGGACAGGAGAGGTAGAGACATGTCCTCCCTGGGATCCTACCCCAGATGCAGTGACCCCACAATTGGGAGGGATCCCCCAAATTTAGAATTCTCCCTCAAGGAGTGAAGGGCTTGTTCCCCACATCAGGCACCCTGACCTTGAGGGCTAGCACCAGAAAGATGAGCCTGCCAAATGCCTATTTTAAAAATAAATGGGGATGAAGACCAGGAGAATCATTGAACTATAAGGAACATATACCCGACTCTAAAAGGGCTCACATGCAAACCCACTCACGCTGAGATCTAACACAAGAGGAACAGACTGAAAAGTACCTAGACCAGCAAGGGAGATCCACTTACTACTTTTAAAATGACTGCCAGGGAGGCAGGACCCCATGAGGACTTTATCCAGGGATGGAAGTGCTGGTGCATGCCATTCTTGCCATTCATCCTAACTTCCTGGTGATGCAACAAATGGGTGCCATTTTTGGTGCCCTCCCTCTAGCTAACATGTGGAGGGCATGGTCGGCACGCATAAGCAGGCTGGGGGACACACCCCTCGTTCCACTCACCCTGTGCATTATTGGAGCTACAACAAGGCAGATGAATGCCCTGAACCCCACCCACCCTGTGCACAACTGGGATGGTTAAGTGATGTGAGCCCCGATCTCCCTGCACAGCAGCCGTGGCCCTATCGGAGTCAGCATCCTCATGCAGCCATAGAGTGCCTGGCTCTAGTGGCCAGGGAAGATGGTGCTTCTGAATCACATGGAAAACTCCTACACAACACCACCCGTTCAAGACTGAGGGAGTAGCCATTTCACCTAATATAGAGAGAGAAACAGAGAGAGGCAAAATGAGGAGAGAGGAATTTATTCCAAACCAAACAACAAGGAAAATCCTCAGAGAAAGATCTTAATGAAACTGAGATAAGCAACAAACTTAATAAAGAATTCATAGTAATGGCTGTAAAGATGCTCACTGATCTTGGGAGAAGAACGGATGAACACAGCAAGAACTTCAACAAAGTGACAGAAAAAAAAAAAAGAAAGAAAAAAAAGAAACAAAACAAAAAAAGCCAAAGTGACAGAAAATAGAAAGAAAATACCAAGCAGAGGTTAAAACTACATGGAGAAATACACTATAGGGTTTCAACAATAGAATGGATGGAACAGAAGCATGAATCAGTGAACCAGAAACACAGCAGTGGAAAACACCCAATCACAGCAGGAAAACTAAAGCAAAAAAGAATTTTAAAAAGACAGGATGCCTTAAGGGACCTCCAGGACAGTATCAAGCAGAATAACATTTTCATTATAGGAGTCCCAGAAGGAGGAGAAAGAGAAAGGGCTAGAAAAATTCTCAAAGAAATAATGGCAGAAAACTTTTCCTAATTCCGGGAAGGAAACAAATATCCAAGTCCAGAAAACCCAGAGAGTTCCAAATAAGGTGAACCCAACGGTGTCTGGGTGGCTCATTCAGTCGAGCGGCCAACTGTTGGTTTTGGCTCAGATCGTGATCTCATGGGTTGTGGAATCGAGCCCCACATCAGGCTCCATGCTCAGCGGAAAGACTACTTAAAGATTCTCTCCCTCTGCCCCTCCCTCTGCTCTCTCTCTCTCAATCTCTCAAATAAATAAATAAATCTTTTTGAAAAAGAGAAAAGATGAACCCAAAGAGAAACACACTGAGACACATTATAATTAAAATGGTAAAAATTAATAATAAAGAGAAGAAATTAAAAGCAAGAGAAAAGCAACCCACTGTATAAAAGGGAACCATTATAAGGCTCACTGTATAAAAGAGAACCATTATAAGGCTATCAGCAGGTTTCTCAGCAGGAACTTTACAGGTCAGAAGGGCATGCATGGCATGATATATTCGAAGTGCTGAAGGGGAAAAAATCCCAACCAAGTATTCTCTACCTGGCAAGCTTATCATTCAGAATTGAAGAAGAGACTAAGAGTTTTCCAGGAAGCAGAAGCTAAAGTAGTTCATCACCACTGAACCTGACCATAAAAGGAATGTCACAGAGGTACAGGTCTGTGATTCAACAGTCTTACACTGTACCTCTGAAACAAATAATACATTATATGTTAAAAAAAAAAAAAAAAGAAGAAGAAGATAGTAGGAAGGGAAAAATGAAGGGGGGGGAATCGGAGGGGGAGACGAACCATGAGACACTATGGACTCTCAGAAACAAACTGAGGGTTCTAGAGGGGAAGGGGGTGGGGGAATGGGTTAGCCTGGTGATGGGTATTAAAGAGGGCACATACTGCATGGAGCACTGGGTGTTATACGCAAACAGTAAATTATGGAACACTACATCCAAAAAAAAAAAAAAAGAAGGAATGTTAAAGGGGGTTTTCTAAGCTAAAAAGAAAAAGACACAAATACTAGTAGAAAAACATGTGAAAGTTAAAAATCGAACTGGAAAAGACAAGTAATCAAGGTAGTGGTTCAACAGCTTACAAAGCAAGTATGAAGGGTAAAAGACAAAAGTAGTAAAATTAATTAAAACTACAGTAATTAGTTAAGGGATAAATAAAATAAAAAAGATGTAAAATGTGTTATCAAAAATATAAAATGCACAGGAGGGTAGTAAAAATATAAAGCTTTAGAATATGTTCAGAATTAACTTACTGTCAACTTAAAGGAGACTTATATATGTGTTATATGTGAACCTCACAATAACCACACACAAAAAAAAAACTTACAGTTAAGAACACAAAGGTAAAAGACAAAGTAATCTCAATATAAAGAAAACAAACACAAA